TTTGTGATTTAGCATGCTCTCTCTCTCTCTCTGCCTTTTGGTTAGTTTGTACAATGTTTTGTCTGTCTTGTTGATTTTCACAAAGAACCAACTCTTTGTTTCATTGATTCTTTAAAATGTTTTCCTTGTTTCCACTTGATTGATTTCGGACCTAAATTTGATTATTTCTTGGCATCTACTCCTTCTGGATGTGTGTGCTTCTTTTTGTTCTAGAGCATTCAGTTGTGCTATTCATTCTCTAGTGTGACTGTTCTCCAGTTTCTTCATGTGGGCACTTAGTGCTGTGAACTTTCCTCTCAGCACTGCTTTAAGAGTGTCCCATAAGTTTGGGTATATTGTGTCTTCATTCTCATTGAATTCCAGGAAGTCTTTAATTTCTTTTTTTATTTTTCTTTTACCCTAGGATGGTGCAACTGTGCATTGTTCAATTTCCATGAGTTTGTAGTTTTTCTGTGATTTGTGTTATTGTTAAATTCTAGTTTTAATGCATGGTGGTCTGATAAGATACAGGGGGTTATTCTAATTTTTTTGTATCTGTGGAGATTTGCTATGTTTCTGAATATGTAGTCGATTTTAGAGAAGGTTCCATGTGGCTTTGAGTAGAAGGTATATACCTTTGTGTTTGGGTGGAATGGTCCACAGATGTCTGTTAAACCCAGTTGGGTCATAACTTCTATTAGTTCTTTTGTTTCTTTGTCACGTTTCTGTCTGGAGGTCCTGTTTACCGGTGAGAGCGGAGTGTGGAAGTCTCCTACTACTAGTGTGTGAGCTTTTATGTGCGATTTGAACTTTAGTAATGTTTCTTTGCCTATGTCTGTGTGAGTTTAGGTATCTTCATTGGTTCTAGGTTTTTCTTCCAGCACTTTCTGTAGGGCTGGATTCATGGATATGTATTGTTTAAATCTGGCTTTGTCGTGAAATATTTTGTATTCTCCATCTATGGTAGTTGATAGCTTTGCTGGATATAGTAGTCTGGGCTGTCATCCTTGTTCCCTTAGCGTTTGTAGGACATCTGTCCAGGATCTTCTCACTTTCATAGTTTCCATTGAGAAGTCTGGTGTAATTCAGATAGGTCTGTCTTTATATGTTACTTGGCTTTTTTTCTTTAGCTGTTCTTAATATTTTCTCTTTATTCTGTAGGTTTGATGTTTTGATTATTACGTGGTGAGGAGGCTTTTTTTCTGATACAGCCTATTTTGTATTCTGTAAGATTATTGTATTTTCATAAGCATATCCTTCTTTAGGTTAGGGAAGTTTTCTATGATTTTGTTGAATATGTTTTCTGTACCTTTGACCTGCATTTCCTTGCCTTCTTCTATACCTATTGTTCTCAGGTTTGGCTTCTTCATGGTGTGCCATATTTCCTGGATATTTTGTGTTAGGGATATGTTGGTTTTGAGATTTTTCTTTGGTTGTTGACTGTATCTCCTTTAATGAGTCTTTAACACCTGAGATTCTCTCTTCTATCTCTTGTAGTCTATTGGTGATATTTGCATCTGTAGTTCCTGATCATTTACCTAGCTTTTCCATTTCCAGCATCCCCTCATTCTGTGTTTTCTTTATTGTTTCTATTTCAGCTTTCAATCCTTCACCTGTTTGAGTTGTTTCCTTCTTTTATTTGGTTGTTTTTTCTTGGTACTCTTTAGATTCTTTAAGAGACTTGTTTATTTCTTGAATTTTTTGGTTCGTTTGAAGGTGGCTTTTATTGGTGCAACCTTGGATTGCTGTATTTAATGTAATAAATGTGGCAGTAACTATATCAGTGCCTAGATCATTGTACCCTTGTGCAACTATATATATTCAGCTGCTCTCAACTTATGAGTCTTTTTTCTTTTTTTGGTGGTAAACCCATAATAAGTTGAACATGTCATACAAATGGCAAAGCCAGATATAGTGGCCTCATGTGTAGCTCCAGCCACTTGGATGAGGTCGAAGGATCTATTGAGGACATTAGCATGGGCAACAGTGAGATCTTATCTCAAAGAGTAGAAGAGCATTTAGTACAGCTTACTTATCTATCAAACAGCACAGGTTAGTAACTATGTGCTTGCTATAGATTATTGACTGTTGTAGTCAGGATCATGTGACTGGCATGATTCCCTGCTTGGTCCCACAGTCACAGGAGGATATTAGAGTGCCTATTGCTAACCTGGAAAAAGAACAATATTCAAAATAAAATGTATTATTTATTTTTAACTATTTATTTTATTTTTGAGATTATAATACCCCATTTCCTTTTTCTCTTTCTTCACTGGAAAACCCTCATTATACCCTTCATCTTGCTCTCTTTAAAATTCATGCTGTTATTTTTTATTAATTGTTTGTACATACATATATGTACTTGGGTGTGTGTGTGTGTGTGTGTGTGTGTAAGCAAGCAAAGATGCATGCACGTGTATTCCTAAATGCATAACAAACAACCTGCTCAGTCTATATCTTGTCACTTGAGTAAGAAACAGTTTCTGCTGCATCTGCCTTTTCTTCTACTTCATCAATAAAGCAAAAACACAATCCTTTAGCTCAGATTATTGGAAAGGGCTTTCTATATTTAAAGACCATGGATAAGCACCAGGTTTTATTGCATTTATAATGTTTTAAATTTTTGGCTTTGTTGAAGACACGAATTCTTACACAAAAGTAACAGATATATACATATACACACACACATATGTAAGTATATATTTTCCCACATACACAAGTAAGAACTGTATTAAAGCTTTATCTTTTGTGAATGAGACGAGTAAGCATGTTTGGCTGTTTTTCCCCAAGTCTGCTTCGTAACTCACCCTTACTTCCTATAGGGCCTGCTCTCCGAGCTCCTGCATAACTGCGATGGTCAGCTGAAAGGGGAGGTGGCACAGATGGCAGCCTATTATGAACATCGACTGCAGCTAGTGAACTAGTGATCAATTTATTTGTTTGTATATGTGTGGGTGTTTTGCCTGATGGAGTATGTATGCTTGTGTACCATGTGCATACTTGCTGCCAAAAGAGGGTGTCAGAGTCCCTGGGACTGGAGTTACAGGTGTCTCTGAGCTGCTGTGTGGATGCTCGACATTGAATGTGGTCCTCTGGGAGAACAAGTGCTTTTAACCACGAAGCCATTTTTCCAGTCTCCAAAGCCTCTATGATCTTGCCCTTCGTGTTGTGGTGTACTTGAGGAAAGATGATCCTGTTTTTTTTGGGGGGGTTGTGAATATAGAGGCTAGACACTGAAATTTCCACATTCTTGTGACAGTTTCCAAGGAGTTACCCAGAGATTATTGTGCAGAGTTCACATAACTTACAGGATCTCTTTGGAGAATGCACTATGGCGTCATGAAGCTCAGGAGGTTATCAACTGCCAGTCTGTCCTGGAAGCCTTCCTTCTGTTATCTATGGAATTTCTAGCTTCAACGTAGACATCACTCCTTTCTCCTGAACTGTCTTCTGTTCCTTAATAATTTTCAGAGTTTTAATCATAAGAATAAAGTAACACCTTAGAACACAGATCCATCCTAGGAGCCCTGCACTGGAAAATGGAGAAACTCCACAGCACCATGTCCTTGTCCTTGGTGCTGTGGTAGACAGAGAGGAAGCTGATTCAGACACTGCAGAACACCAGCATGCTGAATGTCAGGAATTTGGTTTCACTGAATCTGTCTGGCAAATATCCAGCCAATACAGTCGCAGTGGAAGCACCCCAGGGCCAGGACTGGTAGGTATCCCAGCACACAGTAGAAAGCAGTAGTTGGGCCCTTGTTGAATATGATGGTTGTCAACACAATTTCTAACCTCAAAAAGAATAAGACAACTTATTCTGGAGCTAAATATGAAAAACCACAGCTGTGAAACATAGGTTTGTTACCCCAAATCCTACATTCTCCCATGGATACTGTTCCCTTTAGTATAGTATGAGAACAGTTATAAGTTAAGATGCTATTCAGCTAGACATTAGAAAGTGGGTTATGGCAGAGCACAAAAGCTCATCTGTGGGTCTCAAATGCTAGCTGATGAAATTCTTAACTTTGGGGCTGATAAAAGCTTGTGTTCTAATTATCACTAATGGTATTCATCAGTCATAGGACTTTAGGTCCAGTAAAGACTTGGGCAAGGAATGTCTGTTAGAACTAAAGATAGTGTGGTGGTTTGGATAGGTATGACCCCCATAGACACTTGGATTTGAGTGCTTGTCCCATAGGAAGTGGTACTATTAGGAGGTGTGGCCTTGGAGTAAGCATGACCCTTGTTGGAAGAAGTGTGTCTCTAGCCTGTAAGCTCCATGTGGGCGTGACTCAGCAAGGCCTGATGTAAGACTGCCCCCTACCTAGCTACCTAGCTGCTTGGTGGACTATGATTGGCTCTCACTCCTCAAATCATCTTACCCCATCCTAAGATTCCCATCTCCTACCTCAAACTTATATGTGTTCCTGCCTGTTGGGATAAAATGAGATCCAGTTTAGACAAGTCTGCCGAATCAGTGAGTTTCTCCCCAGTAACTAGGAGAGGGGTGGTCTGACTCATAAACATTCAACATCAGGCTCAGCCCTGGGAAGAGACCAACTGGACTGACCCTTCCCAAGTCGTAACTGCCAGAAGTCCTGGCAGAGAAGTATATCAAGGTTGGAGTTTTCCAAATCTGGTGACAAGAGTATTCCTTTTTTTTATCATTTTTTATTTTAATTTTAAATAGCTTGTTTTACATGTCAATCCCAGTGGGAAATTTCTTTTTCCTGGGATCCTTGTGGTATAGAGGGAATAGTTTGGAAAACTCTTCTAACTTCCCAAAGCTGATGCCAGGATCCATAGGTCAGTGTGTGACATGAACATATGGATGCCATTGTGTCCTATTACACACATGGAGAGGCAGGGTGAGAGCAGTTGGCAGCACTGGTCAGCCACAGAGAAAGCATGTGTAGAAGAGTCTTAGGCTGGAGGGCCCCAGGGAGTGATGTTACTTCCTTATAATTGTCCAGTTGGAATGTGGAATCCTGGTTACTAGGCAACTGGAGGCTGGCAGCAGCCTCAACTGACTCACTTCTCTGGAGGTGCTTGAACATTTGAGATGTTCTGCTGTTTCCAGACTTCTGACGATGGCTCAGGCCACCAAAGGGCCAAGAGATGTGGCCTTGGCCACCTTTGGAGACGTTGGGTGCGCCCTATTACCCAGCACCTATGGTCATTTTCCCACAGGGAAACTAAGGTAATGCATCCCACCCCCAGGAGGAAATCTTTCTGGGCTCCCTGATCCACCACAGTCCCTGATGGGGTGTGTGCTCCTGTGAGAAGCCAGAGGAACATTCTTTATGTCTGCTTTTCACTTCAGTGTGTGGTAATGGGTTAGTGATATCTCTTGAGTTTTTATTTTAAAGCCTCTTTCCTTCCTTGGTCTTTCCTCAGAATAAAAGGACGCGGCATAAGTCCCCCAGGTTCAATCCTACCAGCCCAGACTACCTGGAAAAATTCTTATCTTATATTCCAACTGCAATTAAGAAGCAGGACTTCATTGACATTTATATATTTTTGGCTATCTACCCAAAGATTGCCACCACCTGGGAGGTGCTGGACCTGATGATGGAAATGTGAGTGGATACAAGCAAGTTCAGGCTCTCAAGCCTTCTGCTCTGGTTTCAGGATGGCTCTTCTCTCCTCTGGGATTGTATGCTCTCATAGGACAAGGATGATTGTACCCTGGAATCATTGGTCCTGGGCTTGGGCCTTCAAAGTGACATGACCAGAAATGGGGTGGGGGAGTTAACTCCAGATTGTGTCATTCACCTTCCCCAAGAATTGTCAAACACTCTCCTTTCTTATGCCTCGATCAGTGTCTTTGCCCCATTTGTATCAAAGGTTCTAGACACTGTCTAGGTTTGATGGGATGAATGGAGCCAGACACGAGGACCTGGGGGGCACCCCAGAAGCCCTGTGTCAACCGAGAAACCTAGCAGGGAGGTGCTTAGGTACTGTGCATTGCATGACGATCCTTGAATTGCTGTGATCTCATTCCCAGACCCTCAGCATGGAAGTCAGAATAGTGCAAAGAGCCCTCAGCACCCCAATCCTCTTCCCAGATTCTAACCTACACCAGGTTCCAGTAGCTCCCTCTAGATTTCTTGGTGGGTTGGGGACACTTGGACTTAACAGTGATACCCTCATGGATTTCCACAGGTATGGATCTTTCCGGTCTGACTGTGTGGAGGATGAGGACACAAAGAAGTGAGTGGGCTTGGGTGAGGAGGGAGGTAAGAGCCTCTCTGCACAGTGGGAGGTTTGGGTGGCTATGGTTCAGGACTAAGCTATTACCAGTCACCGCGCTCTTGAGATTTCCACTAGAGAGACAGTGCCAGAGACTTCACCCTCAGATGGAGAAAAGCAGAGATCACCAATGGTCCCCTTGGTTCATGGATGGGTGAAGCTAAAGGGCCATAGTGGGATCCATCCTCACCACAGTCCAGCCCAGCTTGCTCAGTCTGTCCTCCAAGGGACAGAAAGTATCTGGAGCCTCTCTCTACCACCCCACACTCCTGACCCCTATGCCCAGCAACAAGTGGGCTGGGCACCCATCCCTTGCCTAAGGGAGGTCTGCTGTGCTGGTGCAGCAAGGCCAGGCTTCTGACTCTACTTCTCACCAACCTGCTCCCCCATGCAGTGCCATATTCAGCTTTCTGTCCATGTGGCTCCAAAAACACCCCCAGGACTTCTGTGATTATCCTGATGTGAACACAGTAAAGAGGCTGCTGGACTACATAAGGCTCCATGTGCCTTCCTCAGATGTCACCATCCAAACTGAGGAGCTCCTATCAGTGCTGGAGGAGCAGGAATCCAAAAAGGATGAGGAGGCCTCTGGTAGGTGCCTGGGAAGCTTGGAGGTTTTTTGGTGATAGGTTGTGGTATGGAATTCTCCAGTAGATTCCCTGGCTTGGAACCAGACCTGGATGCCAGTCAGTTGAGATGCGCTGTTGTGGGGACATGGGACTGGGGATTCTCTGGCATGAGCATACAGACCTGGTGTGAGCAGCAAGGCCACCTCCGTGAAGCTTATCCTACCCTGGAAACTTCTAGGACACCTCCACTAACAGTCCATCTCTTTCTGTCCTAGATTGTGGGCTCTGCATGGAAACGACTCCAGAAGCCCCAGTGCTGGATGTCTCAGGGATGGGAGAGACTCTGCCTCTGAGAGCAGCTTCCATGGCAGGGCCACAGGGAGATCTGAAACTGGCTTCAGTGGCAGGGCCACAGGGAGATCTGAAACCCCAAGAGGACATTGAGATCAAGGACCTGGAAGATGAGGAAGAAGGTGTTCCAGAAGCTGAACCAGTGCAGTTTCTGCCTTCAGACCAGACTCTTCCCACATCAGCTGATGCACAAAAACCTCTAGATGTGGCTGCCTATGTTCCAACCAGCGAGCAGATTGTTGTACTTGGTGTTGTGCAGTTAGGTGACCCAGAGCCCTTTTTCCCCCTGCCTGAAGTTGACATATAGTTGGATAGTAGAGTTACCTACTTAGTTCCATCTCAAACCAGCTCCGTAGAGAAAAACATCTCCTTTAATTTCGTTGAATTCTTTTTATTAATGTTTAGATTGTTAATATCGTTTTTAATTTTGTTCAGTTCTTTTCATTTGTCATGAATTCTACTTATTTTTTTCATTGTTGCATTGCTATTTATGCTTTAATATTAAAACTATTTATTGTTTACTCATTTTAAATTATGCGGTTCAGTGACTTCATGTCTATTCCCCATGTGGTACAATCTACTCGTGTCTCACCAGTGGATGGCAGCTCTGAGCTGCTAAAACCTGGCTGGAGAGTTTTTAGTGGCCCTGGCTCCTTGACATCTGAAATTTTCTTCCCCATCACAGGTTTAGACCAGATGAAATGGATCTCCGCAGTGGTGACAGGTGAACAAGATCAAACAGGATGGTAGATCAGTGATGTCTACTTGGAATATTGCTAAAAGATGAGGGATGATTTGACTGAATAAAAAGGAATCTTTCTGGGCAGAGTAACCTTTGCCTGCCATCTTCATTAGGTTTCTCTTGCTGTGATAAAACGCTGACCAAAAACAACCTGGGGTGGAAATATCATATTTGACTTCCATTTCCCCATCACTGTCCATCCTGAAGGAAGTCAGGGCAGGAACTCATGGCTTTCTCCACATGGCTTGTTCAGCTTTCTTTCTTTTCTTTTAAATTTCCACGTTTTAATTTTATGTTTGTTTCTTTTCATTTTCTGTACCAACCCCAGTTCCCCTTCCCTTCCCTTCTTCCCCCTCCCACCTTCACCCTATATCACTCTTCATCCACACTTCAGAGGGTGTAAGGCCTCCCTTAGGTAGTTCCCAAAGTCTAGGATACCAAGTAGATGTAGAACCAAGTCTATCCTGACATAGATAATGGGTTCCAAAGAGCCAGTTCATGCTCCCATGGTAAGATCTGAAATCCCAAGAGGACACCGAATTCGTGGACCTGGCATTTGGGAAAACAAGTGAACCAGTGCCGTTTCTTCGTTCAGATCAGCCTCTGCCCACATCAGCTGATACACAAAAACCTCTAGATGTGACTGCCTATGTTCCAGCTGCCAGGAATATATTTGTACTTGGAGTTGTGCAGCTAGGAGATACAAAGCCCTTTATCCCATTCACCTGAAGTTGACATATATTTGGGTAGTAGAGTTTCCTGCTGAATTCCATCCCTTACCAGCTCCACTTCCCCACTTTAGAGAAAACATCTTTAATTTCGTTTAATTCTTTTTACTGTTGCTTACATTTGTGTCTTCTGATTTAATTTCATTTAATTCTTTTTATTGTTTTCATTGTTAATATCTCCTTTACTTTGATTAATTCTTATCTCTTGTTGGGTTGTTATTTGTTCTTTAGTATTAATAAAAATTAGGGGATTACTCATTAAGAATTATAAGGTTCAGTATCTTCATGTGTATTCCCCATATGGCACCATCTGCCCATATTTACCTCTGGATGTATGCTCTGAGCCAAACATGTGGATCATGGATGATGACCCTTGGAGGTCATTTTAAAAGTAGAGAAAAGTATGCAGCTTGTGTGGCAAGAAATGGGCAAACAGCAACAGTGCAAGGAATATATGCCTGGGATCTGGCAGTCTTGTGCTCAGTGGTGTCCCTAACACTCGGGGACTTAGATTCTGAGCACAGGTATAGCAGGGTTCAAGCAGGCAGTCTTACATCTCCTTTGGATTCTGCTCTGTCAGACTGGACAGCAGGTCCATGCAGAGAAGGATGAAGTCAGCTTAACTGTAATGGTGTCCAGCATTCTCACCAACAGAGCTGTGGGCCCACCCTCACTATACATCGTGACACTTTGTTCCACCCCAATGAACACCTTGAAACAGATGTTTGTCATAAAAATTGTTGGGCTTTCCCAGAATTCTAGGGGTGGTCAACAAATGACACAGCAAGTGAGCCCACAGAAAATGTTCATATTTGTCTGTGTGGAATGGATTGAATCCAGTCTTAAGGTTCACTATGTACTGATAATCCTCCACAGGACAAAGCCAAGGTTAACCATTAATAATGGGTCACTGCAGTACTCATCCTGGGCATGTGAGGTGTCACTTATCTTTTAGAGACACTGAGTAGTGTCAGTGTCTCTTCAGGGTAGAAGACACTCATTTTGGTTGTTATGGGAGGACCCCCACAAACACATAACATCTCTGGACATGGAGGCATTTAGCTTGGAAACAGGTTGTAAACATCAGACTATTCCATGTCTGGTCAAGAAGTGAGCTATACGTGTCATCTTGTCCCAGAGCTAGGGTGTTCAATGGCTCTGAGGAATGGATACCCAAGACTTCACTAGCCAGGTTGAGGGGAAACTCCTTCTAGCCTGCAGGTTGGAGAAATGCTTCCTGGTTTAAAAAATAGAGAACTAGTCCACTATCAATATGTGTAGGAAATCTTGAAGATCCCACAGAACATTAGAGCTTGGAAGTAAATTCACCAAAGTCAGAGAGGAAACATCAACATACATCACATGAAATGAACTTGCCATACAGCCACATGCCAACCACACACAGGAAGGACTCCAGATAAGAGCATGAACTTGAAACCACATCAGAGTGGAAATAAGTAAATGCGGCCATTCAAAGAGCCATTAATTCTGTTACTGCCTTGCCCCCTGTTCTCTAAAGAGAAAACCCACTGTTTTCTACAAAAACATTGCAGGAAATGTAAGCAATGGGTAAGACATACAGCAGAAATTATAACATATAGTTAAAAGAACTAGTGAACAGAAGCTGAGACATCACATTCATAGGTTAAAGGACCATACCTTTAAAAATTGGTGGCATGGGAATTGATCTACATATTCCATGCGATTACTATGGATAAGAAGTGGGACAGCTAATGTGCATGTTCCTATGCAGGTTTGATGTGCCCTGAAATCAAAACAGATGTGGAATAATTGATTTCTGTCATTATGGTGCAGGCTGTTAAGGAGCAGGGACCTGAGCTTGGATCACTAGCATTTACATTAAAAACTGGCATGGTCTTTTGTTTTCAATTTGATATAATACATGGTCAGGTGGGAAGAGGGAACCTAAATTGAGAAATGCCTCCATCAGATTGGCCTGTGGCAAGTCTGTGGGACATTTTCATGATTAATGTTCTATTTGAGGAGGTCAAGCCCATCTCTTTGGGTAATGCCACCCTTAGACTGGAGGTTTGGAGTGGTATAAGAAATCAGGCTAAGCAAGGCATCGAGAGCAAGCAAATAAGCAGTGTTCCTCCATGGCTTTCGCTACATTTCCTGCCTCCAGGTTCCTGCTTGACTTCCTTTCATGACAGACAATAACCTATAAGATGAAATACAAGTCTGTTTTCTGAAGTGGTTTTTCATTACTATTCTAACACTTCAATTGAAAAGAAAAAATGGTGTCCTATATTTCCTGAATATTTTGTGTTAAGGAATTGTTGGATTTAAGATTTTCTTTGGTCGATGAATCTATTTGTTCTAGTTTATCTTCAGTGCCTGAGATTTCATCTCTTTTATTCTGTTGGTTATGCTTGCATATACAGTTTCTGATTATTTATCTAGCTTTTCTATTTCCAGCAATCCATCAGTTTGTGTTTTCTTTATTGTCTCTATTTCAGTTTTCAGGTCTTCAATTGCTTGAATTTTTTCCTTCATCTGTTTAATTGTTTTTTTTCTTGTATTTCCTTGCTTTCTTTAAGAGATTTGTTAATTTCTTGCATTTTTGGTTTGTTTTTTCTTCCATTTCTTAAAGAGATTTTCTCACATCCTCTTTGAAGGCCTTTATCATTTTCATGAAGTTCATTTTTAGGTCATTCTTTTTATTTTATTTTATTATTTTAATTTTAAATATCTTGCTTCCCATGTCAATCCCAGTTACCTCTCCCTCCCCTCCTCCCAATCCTCCCCACCATCCCCCCCAGCCTCCCACCCTATCACCGCTTCCTTCCACATAGGGGATATCTAGAATCTGTCATTTCACTCAGGGCAGTGTCCAGGCACTCCCCTAAGATTCCAGGCTGAGAGAGCATCCCTCTTTGTGATATGGACACACGAAGTCCATTTGTATGCCAGGGATAAACACTGATCCACTACCCAGGGCCCCATAGGTTGCCCAGGCCACCTCACTGACTCTCACACTCAGGACGTCTGGATCATTCTTTTCTGCTTCCTCTGCTTTGGGATTTTCTGGTTTTGTTGGTTTATAGTCCCTAGACTCTGGTGGTATATGTAAGTCTTTCTGTGGCCGGATGTGTTTTTACACTGTCGTCTTCCCATCTCTTCTTCCATTGGGTACAGATTGGGTCTCTCCCACTCTCTCTCTCTCTCTCTCTCTCTCTCTCTCTCTCTCTCTCTCTCTCTCTCTCTCTCTCTCTCTCTCTCTCTCTCTCTCTCTCCCAGAGGGTGACTAGAGGCTGTCAGAGGCCCTAGTACTCACCACTATACTGGAGGTAGAAGTGTAAGACATGAATGCTGGCTGCTTTGAGCTTTCTTCAGTTCCCTCTGGGAGATTCATTCTAATGATTGTTTTTATGTGACTCAGAATGTTTTATGTTAAAAAATAATTTTAGTGTAATTCTGCATTTGATTCCTGTACTTTGGCATGTTATCCCCATATATAGATATATAAAATAAACATACACACATATATTCATATATATGTATATTTGAATATGTATGTACACATAATGTATTTTTCAGTCTATTCCAGTGTCCTGTATCATTGCTTTCTTCTATTACATCCAGTGTTTCAGGGATCATAATTAAGGCTTTAATTGATTTAGGATTTTTTTAAACAGGGACCTCTTAAGGTAGGTCATTTTATCCTTCTATGGTAAATGCTTTATTCTCTTAGCACCATTTCTTAAGAACTATCTTGCGATTGGGAATTCGCAGCATCATTATTCAAAATGAATTTTCTCTAAATGCATGGTTTTCTTGGCCACTGAATTCTGTACAAATGTTCTTTACTTGTCCTTATTTCTTCTTCTTTTTTTTCTTCTAAAGCAATACCAAATGACTTATGCTAATAGTATGGAATGTTATCTTGCTTAATCAGGAAATTATAGAGCAGAATTTGCATAAGACAAAACTGACTCAGAGTCAGTCTCTAAAACTAAGTCTTATCTGGAAAATGGGGATCAAAAGATGAATATGAGAATAATGTTAGCTGAT